GAATTGGGAATTTTCAAAACCAATTGCTGTGTCCTCCAAAACAGGCTTTTGGAAATCACGTTCCTCAGTTAAGGCTTTATATCTTTTTCACTTATATCTCCTATCTCTCACCTATGTATGAAGCCCAGGAGGTCCTTCTAGGCCTTGTATGTAGGAAGAGGGAGGCAGGGAAGACAGTATGTGGCAACCCCCACGTTCCCCAGCTTATTTCAAGTGAGAAATTTATTTGCCTTCTATTGAAAATAAATCATATTGGGAAGCACGAGCAGACACTCAATCAGAGGCTTGTAGTTCCACTACTAATACAGAAAAAATAGTCATACTCCTTCCAGAGACTTACTATACCTTGGTATAATGGTATTAATGTGGAGGCATTGAAGAGAAACAAAATTAAAATGCAAAAACTCCTTTGTTTTCCTCATAAGACCACACTGGTGGGAAGGTCTGGTCAGTAGGAGTCCGTAAGGCAGCATATTCCCAACTCTCAGGTGGTTAAAAGTCACTTGGACACCAGTCTCAGACCTTGCCATTTCAGGTTCCCATGCTACAGTCATCCAGAAATGCACAGGCTGTAACAGCCTATTTCTGAGTTACAAAATTGTGCAGAAATACACAGGAATGCATTTTTCCCCTGTATGTATTCTGCGTGCCACTATCTGTTGGCACATTCAACAGCAAACTTCATCCAGCATATTGCTGCCACAAATCAACACGTGGGAGACAAATTCTATTGCAACCAAGTTCCAGGCATTTCAACAGATTCATTTTTTCCCAAGCCTTTTAATATCTAGAATATTTCAGCTAGCTGCTGTGAATAAGATTCATCTCTAGCATGCAGGTGAATAAACAGAGATTTGATTTTTTTCCCTTTTGATGGCATGTTTACTTTGTCTTCTATTGTAAGTTATAACTTTTCCAAGCACTGAAAGCTTCAGGGATTCAATGTAGAGGCGTTCCAACAAAAACAGAGTTCCAAACCCAGATCCACCCAAACCACTGAAGACAAAACATTATTGGAAGCACTAAAGCTAAAGACGTGAAGATCCGGAACACTCTGCTTAAGACACAAAGTACAATGACATACAAGAAGATTTTGTGTATGATGCCTACTTCACTTTGCCATTTCATACTTTTACTGAACAATTCCTAAAAAGGTAGAAAAGATGGAGGAACAGAAAAAAAGTTGTTAGAGCAGAGCTCAAGCCTTTCTTTTCACTTTCTGGAAGATTAAATTCAACATATTTTACAAGTGATAGATATCAAATCTGGACTCTGAAGCTAGATAATCCATACGTCAATTCCAACAGAAATAAACAAAGGCAAAGATTATATGGTTATTTTCATTGTTATAGTAGGCACCACTAAACTAAAGACTACGTGCTAAACTATTGTTTACTATCACAATTTTATTGTACAACAGGAACCGGCATGTGAAGGAAATACCAAACAAGTAAATACTTGACTGTAACAGTGAAGAAGATGCCGTTTCTTCAGTTTATATAGCAGTGAACATACTGGTCAGTGTTTCATAAATACCAAACCTCTGAAGTATTGAACAGCATGAAAATGGAGCTTTCTCCTTTTTTTTTTTTTTTTTTAAAGGAATGTTATTAAATTGAAAGGTACAGAAAGTGGTACCCTCCAAGAATGAAGAAATGTAAGGTTTAGATAGTTGGGAATAGTCTGGAAGATTTAATGGCCTCAGACTAAGAAGCTGAGGAGGCAACTTTAAAATACACGTAAGGTTATATGCACAGTATCATAAGTTTGGCAGAAAAAATGTTGTACAGGTCCTTAGATTGAGCAAAAGGCAGTTCTGAAGGGGATCTGTACAGGTAGATTTGCCAGATGTCCAAGCCTGATGGAGGCAACCTGGATTTCAGGTCAGGCATTAGGTTGAGAATGAAGCTTGGACCACACAGAAGTAAAATTGCTCCCCAAAGTATTTCAGAGGACTAGGTTGGTAGTCTTCAGGCAGATATGACAAGTCTGTAAAGAAACCCATCTGGGCACTTTGTAGACACAGCACTGCATTTCCTCAGCTACAGCAGCTGACAGAGTAGTCAATGATGATGTTTGTGGCAGAAAACCAACAGCATTTACAAGCTCCCAGGTGGGGTGCTTAGGCTGAACCCATTTCTACTCTGTATTGAAGTGCTAGGCAGAGAGTAGCTACGGCTGTCCCCTTGCCCGTTTTCCACAGAAAGGAAATTCAAAGCTAGAAGGATGCTGTGGTTACGCCAACAGCTACCAGTTTCAGTAAGTCCAGCACTCCAAAGTGGCATCACAACACTCCTGAACAGGTAAAGAAAGACATGGCCATTCCAAGCCTCAACTGGATAAAGCCCCAACTAACCTGGTCTGGCCTCACACCTGACCCTACTTTGAGCAGGAGATTGGTAAGGGAGGTCCAATCTCCTGCTTGGGAGGTCTCTTCCAGACTGACATCCTGTGGTCCTATGACCTGCAACTGAACTATCAGATTTCACTTCTTGCTTGAAGAAGGGGGCAGCTGGAGCTACATGGTGTGCAACGCACTTCTGATGGGGGAGTAACAGGTAACAGAGCACATGGAAGTATGGATAGTTTTCTGGATGTCCAGTTATATTTATTTTCACAAGTATCAATGAATGAAATGGAAATAAAGCATTTTGGAAATGTGCTGTAATTGTAAATAAGGGAACATAAGGGATATCTTCACAGCTGGAAGTACCCTTTCCCACACGAGAGAACAAGTACCACCCTCTTAAGAGAAAAAAGCTCACCAGAGGAAAAGACTTATAGGTAGCAATGAAGCTCAACTCAAATGAGATGAAAGTCAGGAAAGCACAAGACAATATCCACCATTGGCCAAAAACCTCCAAAACCTCCCTACAGAGATACTTTTCTTTTAAAAAGAACAGAGATGTTGCAGAAGGCAGGCAGCAACTTGCTATCTCCTGTGAGTGCAGGACCTCCCAACAAGGACAAGCCACCTGCCCTACTCTGACACTAGAACAGAGGTTTCATTATTGCACTCCTAAAATGAGAATTTGGATACGGATACCCACTTCATATTACCACGACTGAGGAGAAAAGGCTGTATGTTCAGATGCTGAAAAGCCCACCCATGCCCCCTCATTCCAGGAGGTGAGACTCTGGTTAAGCCCTGATGGGGACAGTATTCTGCATCAGACAAACAATTACCCTTCAGTGTCACACCCACAGAAGTACAGCAACTCCATGGCCTATAAAGCTCACTCACAAGACTTAAAACATTAGTACTGGTGAACTCCCAGCCCTCCCAAGACACCAGAATAAATTCTTCCTTAGCCAGAAGCTATCATAAAAGAAAAATGGCATCCCAGGAAACTTTGGCATTGGAGAAATCTGATAAGTCTGATATGAGCATTTAAGAATGTTATCTAGTTTCTTTAATAAGGTGAGGTCTTTTTGTATTTATAAAAAGCACTACCTTAGTGTGCTTATTATGGAGTAATTCAAAGACAGATTAACTTTTAAAACAAAATCCAGGTTAATACTGATCAAAAAATTAGCAGTTGACAATGTACCTGTGGGTTTTGGAATGGCAACATTTCCACTGCACAAGCAGTACATAGCATAAGCCAGAAATGTGGCTATCTGAAACTTTGCAAGGGCCAAATTTGCCAAGCCTAAATTACGTTTTGGCATAATTGACTGGAAACAAAAATTAGAAGTTGAGAAGAGTTAAAATTGGTAATTGTTTAAGGATATTCTACTGGATGAATAACAAGCCATATTAGCACAAATGCCAAAACAACAACAAAAAAAAAAGTAGTGCAAAAAATAACATTCTGACTAAAAAAATTAAAAAAAATTATGTGGAAGTGGTATTAAAGCACAGTTTCAAAGGATGGAAAACCAAGACATAAATAGCAAATAATGTAAGTTAAAAAATTGAGATAATTGACAAATAACCTAAAGGGATCAAAAAAACTCAACCAAAAGAACACAACCCCACCCCTCTAAACCCTCAAATCCCAAAACTCAACAGTGTATAGAGACCAGAATAACAAACCATATTTCTAACACTTAACAGACAGAGAAAGCAAAAGAGCCTAACAGTTACATCTCATGTTTGGAATAAAGCAGGATGTACCCACCCAATGTGATAACACAGCTGTAATCAAGTTTGCCATCCATACAAAAGGAAGCTATGCAAGACCACTTGCCAAAGAGAAAAGAAATTTAAGCAACTCTCACTGCCAGCCAGTTGCTAAATGCATTAACTTCCTATGTTTCCCTCTAAAATTTTTTTTTTATTAAATAAATGTTTGAAGTATGAGGAAAGCCCAACAGCTCGGAAAACAGCCTATGTACCAAACAGGGAACTACAGATCGATTCACCTGACATCAATTCAAGGGGAAAAAGATTGAGTCTTTAAGAAAACATTGCGTCATTGAGAAGTAGAGACTAAATATACATACATATGGAATAGATAGAATAAGCAAGGGTTTAGATCAAAATAAACTGTTACTCTCTATGAGCATGGAAGATATGAAAACTATTGGTGAGTTATACTTTGATTTATTCAAGTCATCTGACTTAGTACAACATGACATTTTGATTTTAAAACCCAGCTCACCAACTAAGCTCTAAATGTGCACTGTGTTAAGAAAGATTCAATACTTACCGAAAAAGCTCCAAAGAATATAAAAAAATCTTTGCTGGTACAGTCTCCAGATGACAAAAGTTGATGGCGTAGCAAGTCATCAGAAGGAATCATTACTGGTACAGAGTCACCTCAAGTCTCAACTAATCATTTACAAGGGAGGGAGGGGGTCCATTTTGCTGATGATGACTGGAAGCAGAAGTTAGGCTTGAACTAAAACAAGATGTGTCCACCATGTAATTAACCACTGGAACATGCTACCTGTAAGGTGGAGGCAGAGGGAGAAGCAACAGGAAGACGTTTGAACCAGCTTGAGGTCCCTATTAGGGAGACTGCCTCTCTCTTCAGAAGCTATATGCTTTCATGGCACTTCTGTGATAAAGTATTTGGTTCCTGCCCCTGGAGACGTCATGCAAGCACTTCAGAATACATGAATTGGGAGTGTTTGTTACAGTTTGGATCATCAGTATGTGTTTGTATCAGGAATCTTCACTTCATTCAAATTAACCTGGACTGGAAAATGTACTCCAAGTGTACACCTTACATTCTTCAGCATGTAGCATGCATCCAGTTCACAGGACCAGATTAGAGCTAGCCCAAAGTAAAACCCTGAAATGTGTAAAGCATGGGCCTCCAGACTTATATATTTAGTTCTACAAATGCACCCCACTGGACCTCATTTCTTGCTACTGTAGACATGGCTAGCGAGTGTCTCCTGATCCCAGGTAGGACACAAATCACAGAACCATAGAATCGTTTAGGTTGGAAAAGACCTTTAAGATCATCCAGTCCAACCGTTCCCCTAACCCTGCCATCCCACCACTAAACCATGTTCCTAAGTACCTCATCTACCTGTCTTTTAAACACCTCCAGGGATGGGGACTTGGCCACTTCCCTGGGCAGCCCATTCCAATGCTTAACAGCCCTTTCAGTGAAAAAAATTTACCTAATGTCCAACCTAAACCTGCCGTGTCACAACTTGAGGCCATTTCCCCTCGTTCTATCACCCGTTATCTGGGAGAAGAGACCAACACCCACCTCACTACAACCTCCTTTAGGCAGTTGTAGAAGGAATGCCCAGATTGCCCTCAGCAGTCTCATGCCTGTTAAGACATTAGTTATAAATTGCATATAGTCTCATACTTCAGGGCCCAGACAGTAAGCTGAAAAGGTTACAGACTTTAACATGCAACTGGCAGATGTAATTTCCCAAGAATGAGGGAAAATTATTTTTCTTCCTCTGAATGATCATGGATTGGCCATAACTAGGGGCAAGTAACATGCCAGATCCACACTCGTGTTTAGTTTCTATATGTCTCCCATATACTCAGAGTCAAGCTAGTTATCACATTATATTCAGAAAGGAATTTTCTTCCATCAAAACAGCATAGCCTTGCAGCATGTGGCACAGTTTACCTGCTGGGACCACCTGGACAATTTTCATTTAGTGTCTTGCCTTTCCAAGAACCTGCAGTGTTTTGTGGCTGCTTGGTCACTGCTGTAGTCTGTGACCCATAGTTTAGTAACCTGTGAATTGCTTTGTGACAGTTTGAGTCTTTAGGCTACACACATCTGAGTAAAAGGTAATAATACTTGGCAATATATTATAATAACAGTCCTTCCTGGTCTTAAAAAGAACCCAAACAAATGAGGAAATGCCAAATAAATCAGCTTATTTTTTATTTGTTTTTATTATAAAGGCTGTACCTGAGAGGAGGAATGAACTTCTCCAAGGGAACCCTTAACTTAGGATAGGACACACCTAGGTTCAAAGAATAATTCAGCAACAGTGTTTTTCATGACTTGTGCAAATAACCTAGCTTTGCTTACCCTGAATTCCTCATTCTTAAAATTGAGATAATAGCACTTCACTGTCTCAGAATAAAAGGAGTGTCAATGCCTTAAAGTAAGAAGTTACATGAGTTTATATCTCACTTGAAAAAAAGAGAGAGAGAAGAAAAAAAGAGATTGTTTCCATTCAAAAAATTGAAAAACTCCGTTTCTGGAGTATTTCATCAACGAGAAATTAGTTCTCCAGAGTTTTCCCCTCAGCTCACAAAACGCTTCATCCTAGAGACCACCAGAGGTAAAAACTGTAAGCCACTGAAAAAACAGCTACTGCAAAATGCAGACCAGTATTTTCAAATGATGCACTTGAAACCTAGCAGCTAAATCAATACTTTGATATTCAAACAGGTTTTTATTTTTGACATTGCCGTACATTAAGAGACTCCAATCATTTCAAATAAGTCAGCAGGAGCCAGGACCAGTTATGAGTCTCCTGGTACAGTTCTCAGAATGATAAATATTTGTTGATAGTTTTCCAGGAAGGACTGCGTAGTACAGCCTTGGTGCAACTATGGTCTGTAACTCAGCCTGCTAATTCATATCATGATTACAACTCCCATTGCTAGATTTTTTGATGCAAAGTAATTTCCTGGGAGGAATAGAACATATATTCCCACTGGAAGCAGATTATATGAGTTTTGTGTAAAGATAGGCAAAAGCTCTATAAGAATTATAGACTATTAGGACTATTATTTCCTAAGACCATTAGGGAAGCCCATGGAGAGCCCAAAAAGCATCACCTGAGTAAAGCAAATCCTAGCCATACTGTCATTTAACAAAAGCTGCTTAAAAAATGGCAGTGCTAAACATGCTTTCATATATATTTGTCCAAAGTGGCACACTAGGACCTCAAAAAAAATACTAAAAAAAAAAAATCTTCATTCACACAACTATCTAAAAAGAAGCCTGGGTGTGGACAGATCTGGGCTCTAAAATGAGAAATGAAAATGTCTAAGAACAAATATACTTCATTGCATATGTTAATGCAAGCTTATACACTGAGGAGAGGGCACTCAAAAGATCCCCTAATACACCTGTTTTCTTCGCAGTTACTTCACAGGAAGAAAGCAAAATATTTAAATGCATCTCTCACTTTGTATCTCAGATTTACTGGATTTACTTTAATGCCATAAGATTTTTAGGAGGTATTTGTGACCCATAAAGCTGCAGCTAACAATCATAGAATCATAGAACCATAGAATCATAGAATCATTTAGGTTGGAAAAGACCTTCAAGAACCCCAAGTCCAACTGTTAACTTAACACTGCCAAGTCCACCACTAAACCATGTCCCTAAGTGCCACATCAACATATCTTTTAAATACCTCAAGGGATGGGTACTCAACCAGTTCCCTGGGCAGCCCATTCCAATGCTTGACAGCCCTTTCAGTGAAAAACTTTTTCCTAATGTCCAACCTAAACCTCCCCTGGTGCAACTTGAGGCCATTTCCTCTTCCTATCACTTGTTACTTGGCAGAAGAGACCAACCCACACCTCGCTACAGCCTCCTGTCAGGCAGTTGTAGACAGCGATAAGGTCTCCCCTCAGCCTCCTCTTCTCCAGGCTAAACAATCTCAGTTCCCTCAGCTACTCCTCACAGGACTTGTGCTCCAGACCCCCTCACCAGCTTCATTGCTCTCCTCTGGACAAGTTCCAGCACATCAACATCTTTCTTGTAGTGAGGGGCCCAAAACTGAACACAGTATTCGAGGTGTGGCCTCAGCGTCACCAAGTACATGGGCACGATCACTTTCCTACTCCTGCTGGCCACACTATTCCTGATACAAGCCAGGATGCCATTGGCCTTCTTGGCCACCTGGGCACACTGCTGGCTCATATTCAGCCGGCTGTCAACCAATACCCCCAGATCCTTTTCTGCCATGCAGCTTTCCAGCCACTCTTCCCGAGCCTGTAGCGCTGCATGGGGTTATTGTGACCCAAGTGCAGGACCCGGCACTTGGCCTTGTTGAACCTCATACAGTTGGCCTGTCCAGGTCCCTCTGCAGAGCCCTCCTTCCCTTGAGCAGATCGACACTCCCACCCAATTTGGTTTTATGTGCAAGTTTACTCAGGGTGCACTCCATCCCCTTGTCCAGATCATTGCTAAAGGTATTAAACAGAACTGTCCCCAAAACTGAGCCCTAGGGGACACCACTTGTGACTGGCCACCAACTGGATTTAACTCCATTCACCACAACTCTCTGGGCTCAGCCAGCCAGCCAGTTTTTAACCCAGTGAAGGGTACACCTGTCTAAGCCATGAGTATATTCTTCTATTCTTCAAAATATAGCCCCTCTCCAAAACATGACTGCAAAACCAACATTGTGGTTTTCCACAGTCATGCCTCAAGGGCTTCCAGAACAAAGTTTGCTCAAGTTATGAGCTGCACACATGTAAATGTGTACACGCACACATATACACACGCATACATATTCCCTGCCAAAACCACCTCTAGAAAACAACTAATTAAATGATGTCATGGAAGGTGCTTGTATCTTGCTCAAAGATTTGGTACTCACTATGCTTGCTATTAAATCACTTAAAAACCACTGCCTTCATAATTAAAAGGAGATGTAAATAAAAGCAGAATTTAGGTTGCCAGTGTAATTTTATTTCATTATTCTTTAAATATACAACCTGGAATCAAGCAATTTTTGTCATAATGCTGGCTTTGCAAAGTCAACAGACAAACAAGCACCTTTTAACTCTATGAAGCAAGAATGATAGAGAATACATGCAAGATAGTCCCAGAGAAAAGACTTGAGCTTGTAAAAGCTTTTTTATATTTTCAAGATTATTTTATCTGTTCTTTAATTCAAAGTAAAATTATTAGGTCTCAACATAGTGCTATTAACGGTTACCTAAACACTCATTTTCAGAAGTTAATATTACAATCATCCAGATACAGCATGATCCTAAACAGAAGGCAGCTCCTAATTCAGAGTCATGGGACAAAACACAATGGTCCAGCTCACTAAGATCAAGGACCTGGCATCACCTCCATGAAGGGAGAAGGATGGGAGCACCAAACCCTGTATGTACAGTGACTGCCAGTGCCTCCATGTGGAGCTATAACTCCTGGCTTACCACGACCGTCCCCATGCTGCTCATCACAGGCAGCAGGGATGGTAAGGTTGTGATTACAGTCCACCCTTTACAGTAGACCTGCCTCCACCTACTCCCTCTTTCCACCTGAGCAGGGGCACCGGTCCATGTGACCCTGACCCTGAACTTGGGGCACACCAAAACATAAAGTGTTGTTAACTT